CCTCACAACAGACTCTCTATTACCTCATTCACACCAACGCAACTCCGGTTCAAGCTCCGTGCTAGAGCTTTTCAGGTTCAGAACCGGTTCTTCGGTTTAGTTCCGGCTCTTTTCACACTGCCCAGAGTCCGACTGGTGCTGCGTCATTGCGTCATCGTTTGCGTCATGACGTAACCATTTGCGTGCCTGCTTCATAAAGCCAAACCGCGCAGAAACCCCTCACAGCTGACACCGACAACAACAACAATGGCCGATTGTGCTCCAGCTTCCTCTGTACCTCTTCGGAAGAGCATATTCCCAGTGGATAGCTGGTCTCTTCAGTGGACCACTGCTGCTTGTTAAGTTTCTCCATCGTTGTGTACAAACTGGATAAAACGCCGGCTTTTTGTAGTTGTTCAGGAGTTGATCCCGCCCCTGCCCCTTCCCCCGCCTCGACGTAAGCGTGACGTATGTGGTGCTTTTGCTCTGGCCGGACAATTTTTTGGTGCTCGAAATGAACCGGATTCCGGAGCTAAGAGGCTGATCCGCTGCGGTGTGAACAGGAAAACCCGGTGCTTTTCGAGCTCCAGCTACAAACCGGCCCTGAAAGACCGTTGGTGTGAATGAGGTATATTAGAACCTGCTGCTAGGCCTCACAGAGGAGAACACCAATCACATGCCACACCAAACATTTTAGCATATTTATCTCAAAGAATACTGGCCCAAACTAGATTATTTTAAAGCTCTCCCAAACCACTACATCCATGTGTGGTACTTCAACCTAAACAAAATGTGATTTTGATGAGCCCCCATGTCACGCCCTGGCTCAAGGATGGACAAAAGAAGGAGACCACACATGATTCCTTTCCAATTAAAGTACATTTATTTGGGGCAGCAAGCAAGAGCTGAGGCAGGAGATCGAGCAGGTGCAGGAGCAGGAGCAAGAGTTGGGGATTAGGCAGGTTGTAGGCTAGTGGTTCTGGAAGTTAGCAGACTGGCAATCAGAAGTATTAATACAATTCCTCTGTATCACACTCCTTAGGCCGTTACCTACTCTGAAGGGAATGATGACGTGTATTTACGCTCAGATTTATTCTCTTCGTTTGGTTACCCTGAACTCCATTAAATCTCTTTGGGAAACAGAACTTGGGGAGGAGATTTCAGAAGAACTTTGGGAAAAAGCCCTTGCTAATGTACACAAATATTCTATTTGTGCTAGACATGGACTGATTCAGTGCAAAGTAGTACATCGCACACACTTCACTAAGCTCAGGCTCTCTAAAATATATAAGGAAGTGGACCCAACTTGTGACAGATGTAGCCAAGCACCGGCGAGTCACACACACATGTTCTGGTCTTGTCCGGTCTTACACTCTTATTGGACTGACATCTTTAGATCACTGTCAGAAATTACTGGAAAACCGGTCGCTCCTAATGCTATGACCGCACTGTTTGGTGTAACCCCACCCACATGGCCACTCTCTTCGCTGGAGACAGCCTTCATAGCCTTTGTTACCTTACTAGCCAGACGCCTGATATTGCTCATGTGGAAGTCTCCAACATCCCCTTCACACACCTCGTGGTTAAAATAAGTCCTAAATTCAGCCAAACTCGAGAAAATAAGGTGCATACTGAGGGACTCCTTGGGGAAATTCCACAAGATGTGGAACCCCTTCTACAAGTATATATGGGAGCTGGACATGCCGGATGTCTCTGTACAATAGGGTGGTGGACCTGCGGTGTTAAACTGTGATTAGCGGGCTGACCAACAAGTGCTGTGTTTTTATTTTATTTGATATATTTGGTCTTTTTGTTCCATTTATACACATTATTTTATCTCTAAATTGCATTATGGTATTAATAATGGACAGACTCAGAGCCTTTAGATTCTGACTTTGTTTTTTTGTTTTTGTCCTGTCGCAGTCCATTTTTTGTTTTGTTTTATTCATTTATTTTTTGTTTTGTCTTTGTTTTTTTATCCTGTCGGACTCAAATCACACTGTTGTCATCCTAACTTGTTTGCCAACTACTTTTTTGTTGTCTGTCTGGCTGTTTGTTGATAAAAAACTAAAATAAAAAGTTTTTTTTTTTAAAAAAACATCCTGGTAAGGAAATGATTGGCCATACCCTTGTGGAAGCACCCTGCCCTGCCAACTTCAGAGCTGCCCCTCTGCACTTTGTACTGGGAGCTCTTTACCACCCCCGTACACACAAACAAGAGGGTAGCACAAATCATAAAGTTCTTTCTCAATATTACCATCTGCTAAGACCATGGTTTAAATAAATGTTTTTCCTATTGGTCAGCGGTCGGCAACCTGCTTCTCTTTAGCCCATCTGAAATGGCTCCCTATAGCTTTGATAACTTATAACAATATAGAAGAAATACTTTTTGGACTAATGTAACTCCTCTTGTAGTTCGAGGTGCACTGCAACACTGAAAAAATAAAAAAAGTCTTAATGTTTTGTCGACTCAAATAGGCTGTCCGTCACATCCTACTACGTCTTCCTGCTGTGTATTTTTCTGCAGGTGGCGTATCCTGAGTTACAGCCCCTGGCCTCGCTAAACTAATCTTGCATGAATCCAAAAAAGAGCGAAAGATATTGAATTCGGAGCTGTGAAAGCTCAGCGGAGCAAATATTTTTTCAGGAAGTCGATCAAGTCTTTAAACTCAACAACTGCTGATTGTTTTGTGGCTGCTTGCGAGATAATAAGGTTTGGAAATATGTTCAAAGCCGGAGAAACGTGAAATTGTTCATAAATAAGACTTTAAAGACCGTAAAGAACAGGGTCATTAAAATGGCAATATTTCAGCTCCAGCATACTCTGTGATGAGTTTAATGTAAACTATATTAAACACACAGCACTGTTATACGGAAAACACATATTGCTGTGCGTGAGGGAATGTAGGCAAACTGAAATGGTTTAAAGTATTAATTAAAAACATACTGGCCTACTTTTTATATGTACTCTTTATACCCTATTAGGCTGCACGTATATGTCAGTCAGTTTTTATTGTATGTATTCAACATATGGGGAGGAATCAAAATATGTATTATTTTGTTTAATCTCCAAGCAGGACTGCCTCCAAATGCCAATGTATTTTTATCTCATATTCATAAGAGTTGAGATTTTTCTTTTGTCATAACAAAAATAGCAAAAAACAACATATTTCTTTAATGACATTCTTTAATAAATGCATCAAACTGTATATTTTGTATATATAGAACTATATCTAAAACTTTATAATCTGTGTTATCGAATATGCTCTAGACACTTTTGTTTTTGTGGTAAAGGGGGCCAAATGGCTCTTGTGATAGTAAAGGTTGCAAAGCCCTGGTGTAGGTTTGGTTTACTGTAAACATGTGTTACTGATCAAAGAATCAAAGTTCCGAATACCTCACCACCTGAGTGTCGCAATTATGGTCTCTGACCTCATCAGGTCTCAGGCCTTTTCCGCACTACGGCCTGAGGTTTTCTTGAGCATATAAACATATGCATTTGTCTTGTGTTTAAATGTACTGTTACATTATTACAATTTCGAAAGGGGTGCAGAAGTGTAGGTAATTTCACTCTGATGACTCCAATACCTTTGTTATTATATTTATACCTTACATGGTTTCAGCTGAGTTTCAAGTAAGAAATAATTGCTGTTGGTCATGACTGTTACCGTCGATAATTCACTCCCATTTTATTTACTGTTTACAGGTCAAATATATAACTGAAGTGTGACAATCAAAGACATTTATTTTTCTATCCTTACAGTGACACCGTAAATCATCTTAAATACCCTTATATGCGGGTCCAGTTCCTAAGATACAAAAAAGTTTAGTTTTATTGTTGACACTAAGCAAATTGTGTGTGCTGTAACTCATGACCAGTATTGACAGTTCACAAATGTTTGCTTCCTGTAAATGGTCTACTTTGGCCCTAGACAAAATCAAACAGCCTGGCTGGTTAAAGGGCAGTATTGCAGAACTCAACTACAGTTACACTGATCACCCAATTGATTTTTGAAAAAAGTACAGCCCAAGCATCCTGATATCAACCTAGAAGACAATGCTTAAAATCTGCGTAATATCCTCAAATGACATATAAAGTGAAGCAATATAAACACCCGTGAAATCTAATGAAATAGCTCTACAATACTTAGATGTAAAGCTCACAAGGTTCTGTTTAACTGAATAAAGCAGTGCATAGTCCATGTTATTACTAGCTTATTATAATTCAGATTTTGTCAAACAATTTGTCAGTTTCTACTTCACAGTTTAATTTGTATAGTTGTAAAATAACAAACGTTTTTAACTCTGAACCTACACGTTTATGCTAATAGCTAGTTATATACCGTTAGCCAAAAAGGGTGTGTGTGTGTGTGTGTGTGTGTGTGTGGGCATGTGTGGTTGTGTGTGTGTGTGTGTGTGTGTGTGTGTGTGTGTGTGTGTGTGTGTGTGTGTGTGTGTGTGTGTGTGTGTGTGTGTGTGTGTGTGTGTGTGTGTGTGTGTGTGTGTGTGTGTGTGTGTGTGTGTGGTGTGTGTGGCCTAGCATTACTATACTTGTGGGGACCTAAATCTGTTTACACAGTCACGTGTGGGGACTCGCCTCCCTTATGGGGACAAATTGGAGGTCCCCATGAGGGGAATCATTAATTTTAGGGTGAAGACGTGGTTAAGTTTAGGATTAGGGTTAGGGTAAGGTTAAGGGTAAGGGTTAGGGTTAGGCATGTGTTGGTTATGGTTAAGGTTAGGATAAGTCTCCAGGAAATGCATGTAAGTCAATGTAATGTTCCCTGAAGTGATGTATACATGGGATGTGTGTGTGTGTGTGTGTGTGTGTGTGTGTGTGGTGTGTGTGTGTGTGTGTGGTGTGTGTGTGTGTGTGTGTGTGTGTGTGTGTGTGTGTGTGTGTGTGTGTGTGTGTGTGTGTGTGTGTGTGTGTGTGTGTGTGTGTGTGTGTGTGTGTGTGTGTGGGGGGGTGGTTGAGTGGGTGGTTGAGTGGGTGGTTTTGTTGTGTGTAGGAAGAAGGGGTGGGTTTCTCTATCAGGGGCTATTTAACGGAGGCTGACTCAGGATCATTGCAGTCAGTCATGGGTCATCCAGGGATTCAGATGTGGGGGCGGACACTGTGTGTCTTCTTGAGCTGGATGTGTGTGGGTCCAACAGTAGCAGGACCGTAAGTACTGTCTGATTCGAAAATGAGTGTTGATTAAAGACTTCCTTCATAAGTATCAGTATCAGAATCAGTGAGATATCTACTGTGTGTGTGTGTGTGTGTGTGTGTGTGTGTGTGTGTGTGTGTGTGTGTGTGTGTGTGTGTGTGTGTGTGTGTGTGTGTGTGTGTGTGTGTGTGTGTGTGTGTGTGTGTGTGTGTGTGTGTGTGGTGTGTGTGTGTGTGTGTGTGTGTGTGTGTGTGTGTGTGTGTGGTGTGTGTGTGTGTGTGTGTATTTCTGTGGTTGTAGGCAGTACATGGTAGCCATTCCTGCAGTTCTTGAAGCTGGAGCTGAGACCAAATTCTGTGCGAGTCTCCTGCAGCCCAACGAGACTCTGGTGATGACCGTCACTCTGATGTCGGAAGAGACGAATACAACCCTCATCCAGCAGACGTCCAGTGAAGACTTTCATATCTGCACTCAGTTCACGGTCAGCTTTCCAGATTTGATTCATTTGTACAATGTAAAAAGGTTGTCTTTAAAATGCTAAATGTTTTGTTGTGGAGTCTAAATTAGCTTTCATCCTTCATACAGTTATACATATACACTGACACACACACTCACAGATTTGTAACACAAAGCAAACTATATAAAAAACTAAAATGGGCTTAAATGACTAACGCTTTTGTAACACAGAATACATTTTTGCTATTAGCTTTTTTCAAAGATCAAGTGAGATCAAGTAAGTTAAGTTCTCATACGTTTTTTCTCAGTAAGAGGTAGAATAGTACAACATAGAATATAATATAATTCCTTTATTATCATTGCAACAGGTACAATTCAATCATTTGAAGGCTCCCTTTGTGTCTACATTATATTTTCTGTCACAGACTCCTTCAGTGGAAGATGATGTGGTGCAGGAGTTCCAGGTGGAAGTACGAGGCGACACATTTTACTCAAAAGAAGTCAGGAAAGTCATGATCAAAAGCTATCAACCAATGATGTTTATCCAAACAGATAAACCAATCTACCTTCCTGGACAAACAGGTAACGTTGAGCGAATGATCTATGATGTTGTTAACTGTTGGTACCCGGGTTCCCCTTTACAATCAATAGCATGCAGCAAGGAGTAAACAATTAATTTGTATAAGAAATGTCCCGCCCCTTAGCCTGTCACGTACAATGTGTTGGAGTGCTAGCCAATAGAAGAGTGAGTGTTACATTTACCCAATACCATACTACCATATTTGAGAAGAAAATGTGTGTGCCCCAGTATAAGAACACACAGTATGGGTAAAAGTGACTGAAGCCCAGAGACAACATGTGAGTCTGGTAAAGTGTCATTGGCACATTTCCCTAATTTAGCTTAATATGAAAAACATGTTGGTTGCATTCATGGAAAAATAAGAGGATAAGGGCCACATGTGATTTTTTTTTTTAGATCTGTCCAAAAGCTTGCACAAAACAAAAAATATGTCCCTACTCCTCTCCCGTAAAAAAGATAACTTAACATAAATATGAAAAAAAGAATGTTAACAGGGAAACATTAGCTTATATAAAACATGAGTTTAGCACTAAAAATGTTATGTTGGCATTTATAATAAAGTATGCGTCCCCACATTCTGGATATCAAAGTAATATAACACGTTAATTCAAATAGCTAGTTATATACCGTTAGCCAAAAAGGGAGGTTTACTTTTTGGGAAATTGTTGTTTCACTGATTATAATTATTAATGTCAAAATAAAATGATGTAATGTTTTGAGTTGACAGAAGATCAGTTTCACAACCCTTTTAGGATGTGAAACACTGTTGTAGGAGAGCTGTAAAAGCTTTATGTAATCTTTCTGCTTTTTTATCAGTGAAATTCAGAGTCATCTCACTGGACACCAAGATGAGACCTGCCCAACAGATGGTGAGTGTTTGAGAAATCGTTCCTAATATCTCTTTCATGAAACACATTTTTAGTGATTACGTTAAATGTGCGGGTTTTTATTTGTGCCACATTTGGAACATTTTGTTACGCATAATCCTATTTGAATTGGTAATGACAGTGAAACTATTGACTGTGACTGTCTTTGAACACTGAATGATGAAAACAGTACAAACCAGCTGATCCTTTAACAGTTATGTTTCCTTTTTGCAGTATAATACCATCGAAATTGAGGTAAGAATACAAATATACATGAATACAAATATAAAAATAATACATGAACTGGTAATATAGTCTGAAGGTGACAAGTTTGATTATTTAGGAACACTTTAAAGCAAGATGGTCGAGTTTACTGATTTGTCTTTTAGACAATCAATCTGTAAGCTCAAAGATATAACTGAAGTGCATATATCCTCCATATATCAATCAAATGTAGTGTGAACAAAGCTCCACTTACAATTTCAAACTACCTTTATTGTAATTGAAAGACAACATGAGGCTAATTTCCTGTATTTTCAGTTTGAATACCTGCGCATACAGTATCGTATATATCTAACAAACATCTTTACTTTACCTGCTTTTCACTCTGAGAATCAACAAGTACAATTCCTCTGCCATCTTGTTTGAATGAAAAAAATAAACAATCAACATTCTAATTTTGTCATTTCTATTCAGTTTTTTATGTCTTATATACATACTTATGTTGCATTGTTGGAGGAGCCAGGGAATTAAGATTTTCATTGTCATACACTGTAGCTGACCCTGTAGATGACATAAAACCTTTGAATCTTAAATCGTGAATGTTGTTCCAATTTACCCTTTTTTGTATAGGATGCTAACAGGAACAAGATTGGACAGTGGCTTAATGAAACATCTGATAGTAAAATATTGCAGCTTTCTTACGCCTTGAACCCCGAGGCTCGTGAAGGATCCTACCAAGTTACTGTGTCAACTGGGTCTAATAAAATATATCACAGCTTCAAAGTGGAGAAATATGGTAAGGTATTGTTTTAAGCCATCCATTACAATCCATTAGTAATGAAGCAAGAATGCTAATGATCCTATTTTGTCATCAGTTTTGCCTAAATTTGATGTTAAATTAACTGCATCTGACGAAGTAAGTATCGATCAGGAAGAAATCAAAGCGGAAGTTTGTGCAACGTAAGTAAAAGCTCTTCGCTCATTTGCTCTTGAGTAGTTCCAGCTTGGTGAGTGAATGGGTCTTTTCTAAACACAGTTTTCTTATCAACCTAATTAGGTATACATATGGACAGCCTGTGCCAGGCAGTGTTAACCTAGAGATGTGCAGACATTTTAATAGCTACATTGAAAGAAGCTTTGTATACACCCCGGAAAATCCAGAGGGAGTCCCTGAAATATCCGCCCCATGCTACAAGGAAACAAAGAAGGTACAGTTGCTGAGGCGACAGTCTCATGTCCGTCTAAAATGTGCACCTTACATATCTACCTCCTACAGAATGTTTATATATTGTATTAAGTTGTATTATTCAAACACGACATACCGTGCACACTTACTGTAACACTACATTGGACTAGATATATTGTCATCTACGTTGTCAGTGTAGTGTACAAATTGATGAGCATATCAACTGATTAATCACAATGGATATCGTAGTTTCATTGTAAAAAAAAGTGAACTCAAGCTAACTGATTATCTTGGGAGCTGCATTTCACAAACGTCACCAGCAAATAGAGTTTCCTTCTTAATGCATGGATATAAAGAGAACTGGATACAGCGTCTGAAGCTAGCCCGTTCATTCCTACAAGATTTGCTCTGTGGCGCTCAGTGGCCCAAAATGGAACTACTGTAGATTAAAAAACAAAAATAAATAAATCTGTTCTTGGTCCCATAGATAGAGCATGCACATTTGATATTTCTTAAGCCCCGCCTCTGATATCCAGCTTTCGACTCAGTCAAATTAATGCAGAAGGAAAATAACTCTAGATTCGTCTTTTAGCACATTTACAACTTTAAGACCCTTATGATTTATATAGGGGCTATACAATTACTGGGTAATTGATTGTAAGACAATTTGAAAATGTCTCTTTCCCAATGTAAGTCAATAGATGAGAGCAACACATCTGGGTACTTTCCCTCTACGCAAGGCCATGCCCCTTTTTGGATGAAAACACTGGCTATCATTTGACTGGTGCTAAATACAGATTCTGAAGTTTTCGCCGATCACATAAAAAAAACTATAATACCGCGCCTTTTTTTATCGACAAGGAGCGCAGATATTATGTTCAGACAAGCAAATAATGAAACAATGTTATCGGAGATTGATGAACGGCGTTGATTTGTTGGGCGTTGATATAAATCAATAGGGGAACGATGTCTTGTTTTTACTTAAGCCCCAAGCCTGTTTTTCAGGTTTCAGGCTCGAAAATGACATTCCCAGAACAAATGACCATATCTTCCCTTCTAAAAGGGTTAAATTAATAATCTTTTTTCTCAAAGTAATGATAAACCTGTGAGTTGGATGTAGAAAAGTCAGAATAAATATAGATGTTTTTTATTTTAAAGAAAATTCAGATTGAATATGGTAAAAAACTGTAAATTATAGTGTCTGTCCAAAACATATTTTGTACTTATAGTGAAAACTAACCTTGGATGATGGGTTAGTAGACTAAAAGCTTTAGGAATCCAAAGTACAACATATAATAAGTACCCTGTATCAAGATTGATGCAAAACAAGTGATATTTGACCTTTTTAGACAGATTTAGCAAAAAAAACCTATTCTGGGGCCATTTGGGTGGATTTTCCATATCTCTGGCCCCCCTTTTTCGATTTTAACATGCGACATCTCTTTCTGACCGTTAGAGCCAATATAATCGAAGGGAAATCGTCCCGCACACACTCATGTTAAATAAACGTGATGTCTTCGCGTATTCAATGAAGCTACAGAGCGTAGGAATGGCCTGCTCTACTATTTTAAAACGGAATTGAAGTTTTATTGCTTATAGATGATCAGAACATTTCAAAGGGGACACAGCCACATTGGATATTAACCTATGCATTAACTATATCATCGTTGTTATCGTTTTAATGCAGTTTAGACCAGACAAAGACGAAGGTAAGCCATGTTAGCGTTGTGGGCAACCTAGCGCCAATTTTTTTGCTATACGTTTTTTTTTGATAACGTCGCGAGTTTGTATCTTTCAGTGTTGAGGTGGGCACCGTTAGATTCTGTCTCTCCTTGCGATCATAAAATGTGTGTTGTAGGTGCACCTAGGATAAGTATTAAGGGAGCTAGGAGTGATTTGCGGTGCAGTAATAGATTAGCATTTTTCGCTCGGGGCTAATTCAGAGGCTCACTGTTAGCATTGTGTGTTTTAGTTTGTTTTTTTTAAATGAAAAAGATCAGTTAAATTACTTTTTTCCCGTTATATGGATATAAAATATTCATAGTTTATTAAATATTAAGGTTCGTTAGACGTTGTTTCCTGCAAATGACGCGATTTCGGCCCCGGAACCGGGTCCGTGGGGCTTAAGAGGTTTTAAGTGGGCGGAGGACTTCATTATGTCGTGGACAAGAACATAATTGTAGCACCACCATTTGGCCACTACTAAAATGTGCTTCAACGGCCAGCACACTTCCTGGGGAGTTGAAGTAGAAACACAATCCAGAATGTATTTGATTGTATTTCATCTATATTTTTGTGCTTTTTAGACGAACAAGAAAGGCTGTGCCAATTTTATCTTCTCAATGTCAACTTTCACAAAAGTTGCACAAAAAGTGCTGCGAGATCAGTTAAAACTCAGTGCCAAAGTGGAAGAGGAGGGCACAGGCAAGTTGATCTATTTCTTCATAATTTGATCCTACTCTTGATGAATATATCTAATTTAAACACTATAGAATTCATGTATTTGATATGGAGCATCCTTCTACAGGTATTTCACACCAACAAGAGAAGGCTATGGATATTTCATATGTTGTTGGAAAGCTGTCCTTCACTGACACACCCAAGATTTATGACCAAGGATCCGTTGTGGAGGGAAAAGTGAGTGCATCTTGTCTTCACTTCTTCAGGGTCATGCAACCAAATTGTTCTGAAATGCCTTCTCAGTAATATCACTTTTTTCTTTACAACAGGTTAAAGCAGTTTATTACAACAATACACCCATTGCTGACATGCCGGTGTATCTTTTTGAGGGTGAAAGGTGGTCAGCACGTTGGTTGCAGAATCTTACCACTGACAGCAATGGTGTTGCCCCTTTCAATTTCAGCACCGCTAACCTACATGGGGACATCCATATCCAGGTAAATAGGAAAATAACCATCTTGTATAAAATAACCATCTTGTATCCAACATATCACAGCATAAAACAACCGAAAATCAATTCTTCAACATAGTTTTTTCTGTTGTCTAGCTAAGCAACACACCAACATTGGGTTACGCTCCTTATAGAGTGGCACATTACGAGACTGGAGATCAAATAGTTTCGTTGGCCCAAGTCTCTTCTCCTGATACTAAAACTGTCAGCTTCCTGGAGATGAAGAAGAAGGATAAACCGCTTCCATGTGACAAAGAAGAAGACATCTTTATCCAATACACTGTGGTTGGAGAGGCCAAGGGCTCAGTGGATATGATGTATCTCGTGAGTAAAACAAATAATTTTTTTTTTTTGAATTATATATAGTGTAATACTGCCCTGAGTGACAGACTTTTTTCCCACTCGTAAAAAAAAAGGCGTATTCGCCGTGTGACTGCATGTGCCGAACCGTGACGTCCGAACCGTGACGAATACGGATACCGTTACACCCCTAATATGCTCCCAATTTTGATAATGCTGCATTCTCTAACAGCTTGCTGAGCAAAATCCCATGTCTTAACACCCACCTTGTAATACTGGGAGGGGACTTAAACTGTGCTATTGACCCATCCTTAGACCGCTCTTCTCCCACCACGTTCTCTCCGTCCACTATGGCAAGGTCATTTTCTGACTTTATGTCTCTGAATGGCCTTGCCGACCCCTGGAGATATAATAATCCTCAGTCTCGTGATTACTTATTTTTCTCTCATGTACATCATTCTTTTTCTCGCATTGACTATTTTTTCATTGACCATAAATTGCTGCCCAAGGTTACCTCTTCAGAATATTTACCAATCATCATCTCTGACCATGGTCCTTTAACTCTGGACATATCTCTGTCTACTCAACCTCGTACACCTTCACGGTGGAGATTCAATTCACTCCTGCTCTCTGATGCCAAGTTTTGTAGTACAATCTCCACTGCCATTGATGACTTTCTGTTTTCTAACAAGACAAGCTCCACCTCCCATTCTCTCTTATGGGAGTCGCTCAAGGCCTACCTCAGAGGGCAAATAATCTCTTATGCCTCACATTTTAACAGGACCCGTAGAGCTAGGCTGGACGAGCTCTCTAAGGCGATACTTGAGATAGACCGCCAATATGCTTCGACCCCGTCCCCAGATCTTTCTAAACAGCGCCTGAATCTCCATTCGGAATTCAATCTTCTATCTACTCAAGACGCAGAGCGTTTGCTACTGCACTCAAGGGGAACATACTATGAACATGGCGATAAGGCTAGTCGATTGCTCGCGCACAAATTAAAACGCAAAGCAGCCTCCCGATTAATTCCTAAAATTCTAGACTCCTCTAACAACTTGACCTCTGACCCAGCACAGAATAATGATGCCTTTAAAAGTTTTTACTCTACCTTGTATAAGTCGGAGATGCCATCAGACACCACCAATATGACTCAGTTTTTGGAAGAATTGACGATTCCCTCAGTTCCACTTGAGGTTGCGGATGACCTTGATTCCCCTCTCACTCTTGATGAGGTTATGCAATCCACCAGGTCAATGCAGAGCGGTAAGGCCCCAGGACCTGACGAGTTCCCTCCTGAATTCTTGAAAAAATGTGATGCTAAGTTGGCCCCTCTGCTTTTAGCCATGTACAATGAATCGCTTGGTAATGGCTCACTTCCACCCACCTTGACGCAGGCTTCAATAGCTCTCCTCTTAAAAAAGGATAAGGACGCGACTCTGTGTAGCTCTTATAGGCCGCTCAGTCTCCTTAATGCTGATGTCAAGATACTGGCTAAGGTCTGGCTTAGTCATACCAGAAAATCATTTCTGAGGAACAAACAGGCTTTATACAGGGGAGATGCTCATTTTCGAATATACGTACACTTTTCAACATAATTTACTCTAAGCAACCCTCCACCCTTCCTGAGGTGGTTGTCTCTGTTGATGCCGAGAAGGCATTTGATCGGGTAGAATGGGGATACTTATTCTCTGTCCTTAAGAAATTTGGATTTGGGAACACATTATGCTCTTGGATTCGCCTTTTGTACTCTTCTCCCCAAGCTAGTGTATGCACCAATGATACTCATTCAAGCTATTTTGCCCTTAGACGTGGTACACGACAGGGTTGCCTATCCCTATCCCCTATACTGTTCGAACTGGCTATTGAACCACTTTCTGCGGCTCTACATGTCTCTACCTCTTTCCGGGGGGTGACAAGGGAAGGCAGGGAACATAGGCTATCTCTTTATGCAGATGATTTACTGCTTTACATTGAGAATCCGGTCGCCTCTATGCCCTCTGTTGTCACAACTCTGGACAACTTTGGCTCTTTTTCCGGCTACAAGCTCAATCTTCATTACATTATTACATTACATTACATTGCATTTAGCTGACGCTTTTATCCAAAGCGACTTACAATAAGTGCGTTCGACCAACAAAATACAAACTTGAAGAAAACAGAATCATATAAGTACATCAGGTTTCATAGAGCAAAAACATTTCAAGTGCTACTCAACTGGCTTTAGATAAGCCAGTCCTTTATTAGTATATAAGTGCTTTGTTAGTAATTCTATCGCTCGAAGTGGAGTCGAAAGAGATGAGTTTTCAGTCTGCGCCGGAAGGTGTGTAAGCTATCTGCTGTCCTGACTTCAATGGGGAGCTCATTCCACCATTTTGGAGCCAGGATAGCAAACCCACGTGTTTTTGCTGAGGGGAACTTGGGTCCCCCTCGCAGTGCGGGTGCAGCGAGCCGTTTGACTGATGCAGAGCGGAGTGCACGTGCTGGGGTGTACAGTTTAACCATGTCCTGGATGTAGGAAGGACCAGATTCATTCACAGCATGGTACGCAAGTACCATTGTCTTGAAGTGGATTCTAGCAGTTACCGGAAGCAAGTGAAGGGAGTGGAGGAGCGGCGTGGTGTGGGAGAATTTAGGAAGGTTGAAGACCAGACGAGCAGCTGCATTCTGGATGAGCTGCAGAGGTTGGATGGCACATCCAGGTAGACCAGCCAGGAGGGAGTTGCAGTAGTCTAGGCGTGAGATGACGAGAGCCTGGACCAGAACCTGCGTGGCTTTCTGGGTCAGCTGGGGTCGTATCCTCCTGATGTTGTAAAGCGTGTATCTGCAGCAGCGGGTTGTAGCAGCGATGTTTGCAGTGAAGGACAGTTTGTTATCTAGGATCACACCCAGATTTCTTGCAGTCTGAGTCGGGGAAACAACAGAGGTGCCGATGTTGATTGTTAGGTCAAGAGTGGGACAATCTTTACCCGGAAGGAAAAGCAGTTCAGTCTTGTCAAGGTTGAGCTTGAGGTGGTGAGCAGACATCCACTGAGAGATGTCAGCTAGACAAGCAGAGATGCGTGGGACGACCTGGGTCTCTGAGCGGGGAAAGGACAGAATTAATTGGGTGTCGTCAGCGTAGCAGTGGTATGAAAAACCATGCGGGCTAATGACAGATCCGAGCAAGTTTGTGTACAAGGAGAAGAGGAGGGGACCAAGAACAGAGCCCTGAGGGACCCCTGTAGTTAATTGACAAGGGTCGGACTCCGACCCTCTCCATGTAACCCCGTAGGTGCGGTCTTTGAGGTATGAGGTGATGAGGGAAAGTGCAGAGCCTGAAACTCCAAGTTCTTGGAGAGTGCGAAGGAGGATCTGATGATTCACCGTGTCGAATGCAGCAGACAGGTCCAGAAGGATGATGACAGAGGAGAGGGATGCTGCTTTAGCCGTGTGCAGTTCCTCAGAGAGAGCAAGGAGGGCAGTTTATGTGGAGTGACCTGCCTTGAAACCAGACTGGAGCGGATCCAGAAGGTTGTTCTGATGGAGATAACAGGAGAGTTGTTTAAAGACAGCACGTTCAAGTGTTTTAGACAGGAACGGGAGGAGAGAGACAGGCCTGTAGTTTATAACATCAGACGGGTTGAGAGTGGGTTTCTTTAGGAGAGGGTTTACTCTTGCCTCCTTGAGACTGTTTGGAAAGTGACCAGAAGTTAGAGAAGTGTTGATGAAATGGGTGAGAAACGGTAGAATATCAGGAGCGATAGTCTGAAGGAGGTTTGAAGGGATAGGGTCCAGAGGACATGTGGTAGGGTGGGCAGAGGTAATGAGGGTAAGAACCTCACTTGGAGAGAGAGGGGGAAAGGAGGTTAGTGTGTGGGTGAAAGGAGGGTCTGGTGACCCAGCAGTGAGTAAAGGTGAGTCAGAAAAAGAAGAGCGAATATCATCAACCTTTTTTTCAAAGTGGTTAACAAAGTCGCTGGACAGAAGGGAGGAGGGGGAATGGGCTTTGGGGGGATCCAAGAGGGTGGAGAAGATTGAAAATAGTTTTTTGGAATAGGAAGATTGGATCTTATCTTGAAAGAAAGTGCTTTTTGCCTGAGAGATCGAAGAGAAAGAGGAGAGGAGAGCTTGATAGGTTAGGAGGTCGTCATGGTGTTTGGATTTCCACCGTTTCCGCTCTGCTGCCCGAAGGATGGTTCTATTAGCACGCAGTGCGTCATTTAGCCAGGGAGCAGGAGGGGACTGACGAGCCTGCCGAGATGTGAGAGGACAGAGATAGTCCAGAGAGGATGAAAGAGTAGAGAGGAGAGTTTCTGCAGCAGAGTTTGGAGGCAAGTTTCTGTCACATCTTATATATATATATTATATATATTATAGGGACGGGTGGCGCAGTGGTCTGTGCATCCGATCATTAGATCAAGGGGGAGTGCTGGGGAACTCCAGTTCGAAACCCGCTCCTGCCGCCACTGTGTCAAGCCGTTGTGTCCTTGGGCAAGACACTTCACCCGGATTTGCTCCTGTGGGTATTGTCCACAGTACATGTATAATACCAATGTGTACCTGTAAAAGCGCCTCGATGTCTTCGAGGCGTGAAGATGGACGGTGTGGCGCAGTGCGCTGTGCAATGATCATCAGATCAAGGGGTGAAACCCGCCGCTGCTGCGTCTGTAAAGCCGGTGTCCTTGGGCAAGACACTTCACCTGAACTTGCTCCTGTGGGTATTGTCCACAGTATCTGACCATTGCATGTATCATATATGTAAAGCGCTTTGAGTCATTGATAAAGCGCTATAATAAATGTAAGGAATTATTAATGACATCTTCAAAAGAGTGAATGCTTCCCAATAAACACAACTGCACTACAGCTCCTACAATCCGATCTGCCCTTTAAAATATGCCACTCTGGTTTCACCTATCTTGGAGTAAAAGTAACTCGCTCATAGGGGTTTCACAACTACCAATATTTACTAGTCGACACGTTTTTCAAAATAGCAGTCGACTAGTCGTTACGTCATAATAAAGACACACAAAGAGAGGTGTACAACTGTATTTTATATTGGAACTCATACAGTTACATTAAACACTGCATTTTAATTTGTGTTACATGGCTGAGTAAATAACAAACAGTAACTGGACTCACCAAAATCGACAGCAAAAAACTCTGTTTACTGAAATGCCACGTAAATACAGTGCGCAACAGCGCATTGCGCAACACTCGCTGTCCTCCACGATAACGTCCACCTTTCCAGATTTTTGGTTTGCGTTGAGGAACACCAACGCATCGACATGTGAAGGAAGGAGGCTTGACCGCTTTCGGGTGACAGTGTTGCCTGCCAGGGAAAAAACCCTCTCACTCGGGGTCCCTGTGGCTGAAATAGCCAGGTAGCTCCTCGAAAGCTTGGCTAAACGGGGACGCGGTGCGCGTTTTCTGCCCACCACTCCAGTGGGTTATCCATTGTGGGGATATGCAGTGTCCGCTGGCAGTAAACCCTAGCTCATCATCCGCATCACTGTAGACCCGTTTTTTCTTGCTGCTCGTCTGCCTCTGTCCAGTGCTGACGCCGGTCCGTTGCTCACTGGTGCTAGCATTACTGCTAGTGCTAGCTGTCGGCAGCGGGTGTCTCATCTTCAGATGGTTGCGCATAGCAGATGTATTTTTGTTGTACTTCAGTACAGCTGTACACAACTGACACTTCACTGTGGAGTTGGTTACATCTTTGTTGAAGTACTGCCATACATAAGAATGTCGGACGTGTTTTGAAGCATTTTGCAGCACCTCGTTTACCTCAATTTTTTTCACGACTAGTTGACTAGGGCCTACAGCGCCGACTAGTGGTAAAGGTAGTTGACTAGTCGACTAGTCGATTAGTTGGTGAAACCCCTACTCGCTCATTGTCCGCCTTGTTCTCTGCAAAATTCGCTCCCCTCCTCGTTCAAATGAAATCAGATTTCCAGAGATGGGCTAACCTACCTCTATCGCTGCAGGATAAATGCTGTCAAAATGAATAGCTTACCAAAATGTCTGTATTTGTTTCAGACAATCCCACTTTATTTACCTAAATCCTTTTTTAAATCTGTTAATCAAGCTGTCACTACATTCATCTGGGCAGGTAAGGTGCCCAGGCAGGGTCAGTAGATCCCTACTTCAACAATGCAAACTAAGTGGAGGTCTTGCGCTACCTAACTTCTTGTACTACTACTGGGCAGCTAGTTCAAAAACTACCATTCTGGCTGTGTGCTCCAGATGTGCCATGGTGCCACCTGGAGGCTCACTCCCTCACCTCGACTTCGCTACCTGCTCTTATCTGCTCTTCTCCCCAGTCAAGCCTCTCTCGCTTTACTAGTAATCCCATAGTCCTTTCTACACTGAAGATTTGGTACCAATTTCGCAAGCACTTTAAGTTTTCCTCTGCATCCCTTCAGGGTCCAGTCGATATGAACCATCTCTTCCCCCCATCTTTAATGGACGGTGTTTTCTCTCTCTGGAAAAGGAAAGGCATAAGGTCATTCCAAGACCTTTTTGTAAATGACACTTTCCCTAGCTTCCAGACCCTGGCTTCTAGATTCTCTTTACCAGCATCCCATCTTTTTCTATATTTTCAGGTCAGGCATTTTGTCTCCTCCCATTTTCCTAACTTCCCCACTCTCCCTCCCAAACAATCCTGGGACGACCTCTTGAAATTAATGCCAGGAGAGAGGGGGTCTATCTCTAAAATCTACTCGCATATTATGTCACTAGATAGAGCAAAACTAAAATGGCTTGGCGGCAGGAATTTAACTTGGAACTACCCGAAGACTGGTGGGATAGGGCAATTGACAGAGTGCGAACTTCCACCTCATGTGCTTGCCTTGGGCTCGTACAGTTTAAAGTTTTACATAGATCACACTTTTCCAAATCCCGGCTATCCAAAATATACCCCAATGTAAATGACAAATGTGACAGATGCCATCTATCCCCCTGTGACCTTAGTCATATGTTTGCCCACTGTCCCAAATTGAAAACTTACTGGCAATCAATCTGCAAAACCCTCTCAGATGTTCTCAAGACCACCCTGAAGCCATGCCCCTTAATAGCCATCGTTGATTTGTCCTCATTAACCTCCAAAGAAGCAGATATTGTCTCTTTCACAACCCTCTTGGCCCGTCGCAGGATTCTTCTCAACTGGAAGTCCAAACATCCTCCCTCTATTTCAACCTGGCTTACAGATGTGATGTTCTTTCTTAAGCTTGAAAAAATTAAGTATTCCTTAAGGGGCTCCAAAGAAAAATGTGTCTCAAAGTGGCAACCGTTCATATCTTTTTTTAATGCCCTACAAAAGCTCCCCTCAGATGAGGAACTATAACTTAATACTGGCATAAACAATACATTGCCCTGTATAGGAGGTCATGATGTGGTCCAGGCAATTTGCACATTTTTGCAATTCTATCTCATTATTTTTATTTTATCTTGTTCATTTACTGTATTGATTTGATTCATTCATTTTTGTCCTCTTATATCTCTATCCCTAGACCCTGATCTGATTTAACCTGAACAAATCTCTATGCCTTTTGCGTCGACAGATTTCTCGAATGTATACATAAGTATAACAGTTGTTACTGATGTTATTACCATGCACTAGCGACCATTTTATTGTGTTTTTTTATTTATTTTTTGCTATTGTTTGTATCACCCTCTCTGTTGTGGGTGGGGGTGGGGTGGGGGAAGTGTACTGTGTCTGTTGTTTGTACTGTGATGTAATAAAATGAAAAAAAGAAAGAAAAAAACAAACAAAACAGAAGCATCCAAGGAGAACTGAAATATGTCTCAGTGGGGGCTGAGAAGAGGGCACAACGATATTGGTAAAATACATACGTGAGAGGAATTGTGATGAGCAAGGGGGATTATTTTAGGAAAGCAGGAATAAGGGAGGGTGTCAGGAGGCAGTAAAAACAAAAATTAAAGAGGACACAGGTGAGGAAGGGGTTAATATAGGGGGAAGGGTGTTCAACCTTGGCCCTGGGATGTTATGAACCCCCGGTGTGAATGTGTCCTCTGTTCAGGATCCAAAAGGGAAGAGTGTTCAAGCCTCCTTCAGCTTCATGTATCAGCCGCATTGTGGCCATTGAACCCGATACTGTGAAGAGTCCCTACATTCCTCATCATTGCTTTTCTGTCAGTTTAATTAAAGCTGTCTGGACCAAAAAAAAAGTCAGAGCTAACACTACCAGCCATGCTTTGTGGTACAAATCTAGTTCTTTGTGACAATTTTCTGAAATTCCCCAGGTCTTATCGAGAGGTGCCATTGTCATGCAAGGACATAACCGCATTGATGTGGAAGATCAATCAGGTGAGTAAAGAATGACATCTTAAAAATCTCCCTTTTAATAAGCATTGCCAAAAAAATCATATGATGAATGATTGTGGTTCATAACAGTTTGGTTGTGTTTCAGTGAATGAGGGCCAGATGTCCTTTAAGCTGGCAGTGTCTCCAGACATGGCTCCAGATATCCAGGTTATAATTTACGCCATCCTCCCCAGTGAAACTGTGATCGCCAACAGCGCCGACTTCTCCATTGAGAAATGCTTCAGTAACAAGGTCAGTTTCAGAAGTTTCTGTTATTTTCAGATGCAAGTGTACAATCAAAGTCAATTTTTGGAGAAATAAAAAATATCACACTAGCTATCAAGTTAACAATCTCAAAACCATTGGTTATAACTCTTTAGGCCCATTTTGCAACACCTCTTTTGTTATCCATGTGGACTCTTCCACCTGCCAAAGTCTGTTCGACTAACAAATTGCTCAAACCTGATTTGTCAATACTACTAGGTTACAAACGGTCTTCAAATGGACTGTGAACTGGACTAAAAGCATAATCCTTCTGCGCTCATATGCAAATATCTCTTTACAGCGATTACCTTAAACCTTATTAAGCACTATTAAGGATTTATAATCCAGGTGCAGTCCTTGCTATACTTACACACAAGACAAAAGATAGTTCATTTTGTGGGTAAAGAAATGATGTTTCTCTAAAGCCATGGCGTGAAAATCAGTGTTAAGTTCAGCCAATTTACAAGGAATGGATTGTTATGTATAATAAGTGCAGCATTGATTTCTGGCTTCCAGCCCACCACCTTGTCACTTCCCAAAAGAAAGCCAATAACCTTAGCAGAGCAGTGATTGGGGAGTGACAATATCAACAAAACCTGAAAACCCACCCATGCCCAAGTTCAGGCTCGGATTGGCCATCAGGGGAGTTGGGACTTTTCCTGCCTTTGGTGGGCCGTTGCCTTCGGTGGGCCGTTGCCTTCGGTGGGTCATTGCCGGGCCATTGCCGGCCGGCTCCGTTTGCTCCACCCCCCCCGTTGACAGTTCATGAGCGTCGAGCTCGCCCCCCCCCACCCCCCGCTGTTGAGAATTCACGAGCGTCAAGCTCTACCTCATAATTTCCCGGTAAAATGAAGTGTCCCAATCCGACCCTGCCCATGTTGCTGTTATTTTTACGAAGCCAGATTGAATTGAAGAATAATTTCTCAAGCTCATCTCCAGAATTATGTTTTAAATTGTTTGCTACTATAATTTAGCAGCAATTTTCCGAACGCTGGAATGGTACACCGCTTGCACTCCACAGGCATTTTGCCCTCGTTTGCTTGGGGCAGCTGCCACTGGAAAGTAGTAATTTGCTGTCTGTCACACAAGCAAGGTCCCCTGATGCATATATCCCCATGAATTATTATTTTTGTTCAGTTTTAATGTACAATGTTTGGCAACATAGCACCACAAACACTTGTATCTGATATTACACAGATGATGTAAGCGTGGCATAGCCACATGGATGTGGTTCTCGGTTCCAGCATAGCAGATTGTTGGTCAGATATGTGAACCAGTTTCAAAGGCCGAGAGCTGGCGTAGTTGCAGTGGAAAAACTGATTTGCAATCAGGCACATGCTCTGAACTGGCCATGGAACCACTTCAAAGAAAATATATGTAATTTATTAAGCGTTGGTAGGACCAACAGCAAGGCCATGTCAGTCCACTAAAGAGAAAATGCTAGCAATGTTGCTATGTGCGGCTCTGGCATGGGGCCATTCCCCTCAGAACCAGAGCATGGAGAAAAGTAAAGGTAAACTACACATTTTTGTCAAGTTCAAAACATTTGAGGTTCTCTGCCGCCACTGAAGTCTCAGGTGAGATGTTTTTTATATGTAAGGTGTCGCTGGAGTTCTCTCCATCCTTGGCCGTCCCCGGAGAGCAGACCATCCTGCAGGTGAAGGCCCTACCAGACTCTCTGTGTGGTATCAGCGCTGTCGACCAGAGCGTCCTCATCAAGGAGCCATGGAAAACTCTGGATGCAGACAAGGTACCTGCTAGAATCAACCACAAATAGATACAAAGTTAATGTTACCTCAGCATTTTATTTTCCTTAATTTGCATTCGTTATGCAGAGGTTCAAGATTTTTCTGATATTTCCTTGTATCGTGGTCAATCATTCTTTATTCTATTATTCTACCAGTTACATATTGTTACCAACTTTCTGTTAACCCTTGTGTTGTGTTCAAAAACTATTACCGTTCATGGTGTTCGCGGGTCAATTTCGACCCATGATTTATCTCAGTCCAAAACACTCAAAAATAATGACTATCATCCAATATTGTTTTAACTACATCGTAACTAACTTATTATGCATTCATAACCGTACAATCCTGTTGTAATTGCATTTTATGGCCCCAAAAAACATTGCACCACATATTTAAGTAAAACATGTGATTCAATGCACTCATTATATTCACTATAGTGAAGACAGTGGATCTTTACGTTATCTGACTATAATAGACTAATATTAGAATACAATCTCCCCAAAAAAAGTTTTAAATTATTGTTACAGTGGATGAAGGGGGTGGGGGTGGGGTGTCCAAAGTCAAAGATGATTCTTGATTGGGCCAAATTTGACCCCGAGTCACCCCCAACAATGCTGCTGGGCAGTGTGCGAACTATACCACGGTCTCCGGGGGAGCCGGGATTTATTTATTTTTAAAGAAATTGCCCAAGGTAAGTTGTTTTTTTCTTTTCGACATGGCAGCAGCAGCAACAATGCCTGGTAAACATGCAGTGCTAACTAAACGAGCTTGTGAGTGAGTGGGTAGTGGGTGGAGCTGCGGGCAGCGTGCAAGCAGGCGACACTTTTTTCATGAATCATAAACTCTAAATATAATTTTATTTCACTTATTTTACACCTTTGAAAAAAAAAAACATGCCCAAAATGGAATTTATTTGGTCATCATATCAGTATTTTAGAGAGCTCCCCCCAAATTTCACAAACCATGTTCCCAGGGGAGCTCATGTCACCACTAGGGGAGCTATAGCTCCCCCTGCTCCCCTCCAGTTCGCACCCTGCTGCTGGGTCTTCCTAGACCCGAACACCAAAATATACACTTTTTTTAGAGACCTTCAAACTTGGCTAAAATTGTCAAAATCAGTTTTGTAGTGTTTATATAGCTATTGTGGAGGGTATCTTGAAGCCTTGTTCCGATTTAAAAAAACTAGAGCGTAGGTATTATATAATGTTAACTTGAAACGGGTCACGGGAGACCCCAACACAACATAAGGGTTAAATGCATCTCAGTAATCCGCAGTTTCTCAATTGTCAGATGGTCATAAAAACAATAAAAATCTTGTGAGAATATAGTGGTGAACCATACCTTTCTTCTCAGATATTCAACTTGTTGCCTGTCAGAAAAGCAACATATGTTCCATATAATGTTGAAGATCGTGTAGAATGCTTGCTCGTGAGACCCAGAAGATACGCTATGCCATTTCCCGATGGAAACCAGAGAGATGATGCTCATACAGTTTTCCAGGTACTAACTCCACAAACAATGATGTTTAATATAGCAATATATGTTGCTGTAGCCCATTTTTTATAAACTTTTCAGTGATTCCTGTATTCATGTATTTAGAATGTAGGTATGAAGATGGCAACAAACCTGGTTATTAGAGTGCCGACATGTCTCAAGTACAGAGGAAGAGAATACCACCAGGGCCATGGCTATGGTAATTGCTTTTCTTGTTCTATTGAGTGACACATACTTAACATTTACCAGCAATCAAACAGGTTACCATGTTTTCTCCTGCTTTTGTTGGATTCCTTTTTTGATTTTTTTAGGTATGCGTCAAGGTTATGACGATAGTCCTGTAGTAGCCAGTATGGAAAGGCAATTAGATTCAGCGCCTGTTGCAAACAATTCTCCTGATGATTCACCAATTGAGACCGTTCGAACTTTCTTCCCTGAGACCTGGATATGGGACCTGTTGGAAGTTGGGTAAGAATATGCAATAAAGAATTGAGTAAATATAATAATTTAAACCAGATATGTATGTAGACCAGACTCCTAGCACACATGAATAGCAAGAAAATTCCTTAATGACGCTGCTCATCTAGTCATGTTTAACATGTTGGCTTGAAGGGAAATTAAAGGGTATTTGTGATTCTATGAAACGTATATTCATCATTTTAGAGACCTTTCTTTTATAATGACGATATGTGCGGAAATATTTTGGGCTAGTGTGCATCATTTTTAGGGTTATGGTTCTTTATTTAGAATATTGCCAGAATTGATTTAGCAAGACTGAACCAAGTAATCGTTTCTAAGTTTTTGAGATCTCAAAAATCAAGGAAATAAAACAATTTCACATATGTAAGTTAGTATTTAAGTATATTTCTCAAGGTCACGGAATCTGTTTGTGTGCTTCTGCTGATCCAGAAAGTCTGGAGCGAAGGATGTGTCCGTCACAGTCCCAGACACCATCACCACCTGGGAGACGGAGGCATTCTGTTTGTCCTCTCAAGGTTTTGGCTTGGCTCCTCGTAAAGAGATCACTGTCTTCCAGCCCTTCTTCCTCGAGCTCAGCCTGCCCTACTCCATCATCCGAGGGGAGCACTTTGAACTGAAGGCAACCGTCTTCAATTACCTGACCAGCTGCATCATGGTAACTCGTGTTTTACTTGCACCAAAGTCGTTACCACAGTGCAATAAAAGTAAGTAAATAGCTAGGTAGCTGCTTTCTATAAGGAAGCATGAGAAAAGGTCCAACATTTCACCCTCCAAACATTGAACTTGTGAAGTCCGAGCACAGAAAATATTCTGTCTCTTGATAAACTGTCTTGTTCCGGTAGGTTCCTTCCAGCTTTGCCTGTACAGATCCTCCCCTCAAAATGTCAACGGACAATTTATTTGTGCATCATACCCAGAGATGGGGTCGTTACTAAAAAAAAGTAATATATTACATATTACTTTAAAAAAAAAGTAATATATTACACTACTTCGTTATTCTCTACAAGTAACTCGTTACTTTACTCGCACGGCCGGCCCGCCCCTCCCCTCCCTATAGGCAGATCACGCAGACTGCTAAAGTTTCAAATGTTCTCTTTAGTTCAGTTTCCATTGTTGCATAATACTGATCCAGATAGCTCCTGAATGTTTTCCTATCTGACCATGGCTGTCCTCTGTCTCCTGCTATCTGTATTTTGTGCAGTATATCTCTGAACGATGGTGATTCCATCGTGCAAATGGGCAACATTTCCTCTACTATGAAGGATGCTACAAGCCTGTCCATCTCTGCTTTGGTTACCGGTCCTCCAAATTCTAAATTTTGCTGCTTCGGAGTCGGCGGCGGTGCACTCACAACATCCTCACTCTGGGTTCGGAGGTCCTTAGCTATTAGCTTCACCTTAGCATGTGTTCTTTGCAGGTGTTTGTTGCGGTTTGACGTGGTGTTTACAGCAGTGGATAACAGCTTCTGGCCTGGACACAGTTTGCACCTCACCGTCACATTCCTGTCTATTCTTCGGACGAACTCAAAATAATGGGCATACCTCCACCCCTCGAAAGTTATCGCTGACTCAGCCATGTTTATGCAGCACTGCACGTGGAGATGTGGATGCAGATTACGTACATATAAACCTGCGGGCTGCGGCGGAAACCCCTCTTGTCTGTCAGTGTGATTATGACTGATTTTATAAAAGTAACGAAGTAACGTGTGGCGGGGCAATGTTAGTAACTGTAGTGTGATTACTAAATTATAAAAGTAACGCGTTACACTACTCCGTTACCGACAAAAGTAATATTATTACAGTAACGCGTTACACCCAACTCTGATCATACCGTTGATAGCCAGTAGCGGAATGTCCATATCGAGAGAAAGATAAATAATCTGAATTCAGTGTGCAGTTTACTTTGACGCGGGGGTGAGCAGCAGAGGTGGGGAGAGGCGGGGCTATTGCGCAATCATTATCAGAAAATGATCGTAAAGGGCGCACACACGGTGCTGTTTGACCCCCAGAGCGTTGCGTATGCCGTTCTATCCACCTTGGGACCCGTTATCGTTTCCTCAGTCGTTTAGTGCCGTATGCGGTCGTCCTCGTGTGGCCGAATGGTCTATATGACACTAAACAGTAACGCAAACGGCCGTTTTTGTCCTCGTGTGGCTGCAGCCTTAGAGTATTCTAATGAAGAAGTCTTGTCTGGTAATGATGAGGGCAGGGGCGGATCTACCGGGGTGGCATGGGTGGCAACTGCCACCCTAAACAATAGCCTTGCCACCCCAGCTGCCACCCCAGTTGGCATCTTTGTTTTGAAAGAAAAGTTGTGGCTCATCGGACATTTATGAGAGAAAGTCTCTAATGTCCGAGTGCAAGTGAATGCAGCACAAGATGTAACCCCTCCCCCGGTGCTGGCGCGATAGTGGAAATATGACTGGTGGCGAATTTACTTGAATGGGGGGACGGCGCAAAACGAGAAGCTTTTCGGACCCAAGCACTGAAGGAATGAGGTAGTTGCGGTCTCCAATGACAGAGAAGAGAATGTCAAGTTTGGCTGTACTCAGCATTGAATCAAAACACACTACAGCTGTTGATCTTAATAAGTTTGTGAGGCGTTTTGCTGAACAAAATAGTAATTGCCGCATTCAGCTGTAATAGATATGCCAACTTGATGCTCTGCTCACGGATGAGTCGATGAGAATAACAAACTGTTAAGATGATGACCTTGTATGCGTGTATATATTTTTTTCTTTGTGGGGGTCTGCCCCCAAAAAACAGTTTTAAGTCCTGAGAAAGTAAAATAAGACGGTGTGTAAAACTACACTGCCCAGCCTACAGAAAGTAACCACTTTGATTTAACTAGGCCAGTAAGTAAGTAAGAAGGACCTTCCACTGGATAATAACTGCAGCGATGTTTTAGCTGAATACACGTTTTTTAACCCTAACTGATGCAGTTAGTCACTTCTTTAATGTTTGTTCTTTCTGATGTAAAGTCAAGGTTGTAACTGTATATTGTAGTGCCGAGAGATATGGAGTCAGAGGCGGTGCAAGGAAGGTGCAAGAATAGAGATGTAATCACAAGCTGCAAAGGACATGTTGTCGGGTCGCAGCCCGGGTCGACAAGAGAGTGAAGTCAGGAGGGCACACAACATAGTAAACACATAACATGTCCGTGTGGGAACAATAGCCCCAACTGTAGTTCCATGTATGAATTATGTCCCAGTGTATTAATAGGTGGTCACCACACAAGCCCCCCCAGAATTCAAACATGGCAAAAAAAAATCCTCGCGTCCGTGGAGGAAGCACCACAGGGGCCGAGGAGGGTGGGGCCGCAGGTGAGGACCGGGCCATGGAACGGGCCACGAAAGGGGGCCGCAGGAGAGGGCAGGGGCCCTAACGAGGGCGAGGGCACCCACACCGGGGGCGGGCCGTCGTAAAGGGGCCGCAGTAGGTGTCGCGGAGAACCCAGCAGGAAAGAGCGCAACCCGGCCGCAGGCAGACGCACAACGGCGGCGGGCACGAAGTCCTCGGCAGGCGTCGAGGTATCCCCGGAAGAGAGGAGCAGTCCCCCCGGGAGGAAGTAGCGCAACCCGGCCGCAGGCAGACGTGCAACGGCGGCGGGCACGAAGTCCTCGGCAGGTGTCGAGGTATCCCCGGGAAGCAGGAGAGCAACCCGGCCGCAGGCAGACGTGCCGCGGCGGCGGGCATGAAGTCCTCAGCAGGCGCTGAGGCATCCCCGGGAAGCAGGAGAGGCCAGACAGAGTCCCGGAGCGCGCCACCCATGGGCCGATGGAGCATGGGCGACGTCCGGAACTGTCGAGGCGAGAGGGGGTCCAGGAGTGCGCCACCCAGGCGCCGATGAACGTGAGTGGCGTCTAGATATCCCCGGAAGGCAGGAGAGGCCAGACAGGCTCCGGAGCGCGCCACCCACGGGCCGATGGCAGCATGGGCGACGTCCAAAACCGTCGAGGCGAGACGGGGTCCAGGAGTGCACCACCCAGGCGTCGATGAAAACGTGAGTGGCGTCTGGAACCGCCGTGGAGGTGGTGAAAAATGTGAGAGTGTCCACATGAGGTCAACCGGCTGGTCGAACCTCCTCTCCGGCACCAGAAAAAAAAATCAAAAGGGCTGATAGCCGTTAGCACTAGCCGTCGTTAGCCCCACGTGGTTAGCCGCTATGCTGCCGTCAACCAGCGCAGCTGGGACGTGCAGCCGCACGCCCCGAAGTAACAAGCCCACGAGGCAGCAATCGGGTTGCTGGTCGACCCAGCAGGTCGTGCATGGTCTCCCTGTAGCCGGAAGGCCGATGCGGGAATGGCGAGCAACGTCCCCAGCCATTCCGCGGGGCGCGCACCGAGCCTCAGTCCGCGCGCCGGTGGCAGCCATGGACGTCTCCAATCAATCCCCGGCATTTCGAGAAAGAAACCTGAGTTTCCTTTGCCGTGTTCGGGTCCGTCTCGGAAACTTCTCAAGACGCTGTCGGGGTCACCAGTGTAGTGCCGAGAGATATGGAGTCAGAGGCGGTGCAAGGAAGGTGCAAGAATAGAGATTTATTCACAAGCTGCAAAGGACATGTTGTCGGGTCGCAGCCCGGGTCGACAAGAGAGTGAAGTCAGGAGGGCACACAACATAGTAAACACTTAACATGTCCGTGTGGGAACAATAGCCCCAACTGTAGTTCCATGTATGAATTATGTCCCAGTGTATTAATAGGTGGTCACCACAATATCAATAATGATATAATTACTTGTTTTTCAAATTTGAAGGAGGGTGAGCAAGCATCTTGATGAACATTCATCATTAACTCCTCCAAAAAATATAGTTTATTCAATAATAAATGAATATGTGAATCATAACAGTTCTTCACTATATCTGTAAAGCGTCTTTGAGCACCTGTAAAAACACTAACAAATTAAATCTATTATTGTTATTATTTATTAACAGTGATTGACAGCTGATAGGAATAATATGATTGTTAATAGTATCATATTCATTCAGACAAACATCAATGAGACAGTTAATTAATGTACTTATTGCAGCAGTCTGCATAGATTTGGTATCCCTGCTGGTCTAAGAGTGAGACAAACTCATTCAGTTATTGTTCAGTTAAAATTCATTAAATTACGTCTGCCACCTTATATGTAAGGCTTTACTGATGTGCCACAATAATATCACCTATGTGATTGAGTTACAATATTAATATTGTGGCTTTCTAAGTTAACATTGTTTGTAGGGGTGTAACGGTTCACAAACATTTCGGTTCGGTACGTACCTCGTTTTTAGGTCACGGTTTGGTTCGTTACGTTTTCGGTACAGCAGAAAAAATTATCACAAAAACATTACATATTTTTTTTAAATTATTATTAAACTGTGAATAATGTATTCAAATAAATACAAAATATAGTAAAATAAACATTAAGGTGCAGCATTTCGATGAACTGAAATAATCTGTATTTGAACTGTACTAGTACCTAAGCAGCCAGCTTGACATTAGGACTTGCTTGTCATTGTATTTTGTTATTTAAAGAAAGATGAACTTGTCCATATTGCTTGCTGAAAGGGCAGATCTGCTGGCACTAACAATGTCTCCTGCTGTGGAGAACACCCTCTCTAGGGACAGTGGCAGCAGATACAGCCAGGTAGCGCTTTGCTAACATGGCAACATAAGGATATTTGGCGTTTGTAATAGCTTTGGCTCGGTCTGAACTTTCTGCGAGTGGTGGAGGCTTAAATGCTAGTGGGAGTTGGGTTTGCACTTCAGTCTTTTTTATTTTGGTACCGGTGATATTCACATTCGGGTGATGCCTTTTCAAATGAGTGTGATGTATTGCCAGCCGCGTAACCAATGTTAGTTGAACAATGCCGACAAACAGCTTTGGTTCGGTCCACCTGTCTTTGTCCGTCATCCTTGTACGTAACTGCGAAACCAAAATGTTCCCAAACCGGAGACTTCAATGATGCTGGAGGATTTTCAGCTCAACTTTATCTGCGTTCGCCATTTCGCCAGTTCCTCAAATTACTGACTACATTTGAACGCATCCCTGTGACCAGCTCTCATAGTATGCCTCTCGTCCAATGAAATGACTTTGTCGCTCTATGATATATACCTGAGATTACTTCCAGAAAGTTGTTCATGTTCTCAATTTTTTACGTTTAACGCTATATTCGTTCGGTACACACGTGTACCGAACCGAAGGGCCCGTACCGAATAATTTCAGTACGGGTACGTGTACCGTTACACCCCTAATTGATTGATATGATTGCGATTTAAATCAGCATATACTTCTGTCAGGGGATGCCACCCCTCAAAATCTCCTGCCACCCTCTTGCCACCCCATGAATATCTGTCTAGATCCGCCCCTGGATGAGGGCAAGGATAGGGAGTGTAAGAAGAACAGCAATGTTCTTCAGATGGAAAAAAAGCAGTTTTGCTGATATGGTAGGAATGAGAAGGTGGGGTCGAAGATGATGCAATAGTTGTGCAGAGGGCGATGAGAATGAGATGTTCAGTGAAAATGACTGGGCATAGTGGGTGAGGGAATTTGGGAAGTTTTTTGATATAGATGCCATGTTGACGGAGGATGCTTCCTAGGGGAAGGATATACAGGACAAAAATGAGGGGAGCGAGGACTGAACCCTGGGGGACACCATGAGGGAGTTGGGCAGTGGGGGAATGGCAGTTATTTACGGATTTTGGTGTAGCGAAATTATGTAAAACAGGAGAAGGCAGTTATGTCGATGGTGTGAGAGGAGGATGGAATTGTACATATTGTTGAATTGAGTCAAAGGCTGCACTTATGTCATCAAGGATGAAGATGGTAAGGAGGCTGAAGTCTACTCAGAAGAGTTTATTAGTTTAGTTGAGAGCTAATAAAAGGCGAAGTTCAGAAATGGTCGTGGACCAAGTGAAGACATCTTTCAAACCCATTTCTGGGTGTTAAGAATAATTTATTTTGCTATAAATCTACATTTTCTAAAATATATTGCTGTCTCTCTTGAACAGGTTACTGTGGCTCCAACCCCCTCCTTAGATTACACCCTTACCCCCCTCTCTGGTGACCAGTACACATCCTGTTTGTGTGGTGGTGAGCGCAAGACCCTCAGCTGGACCATGGCCCCCTCAGCTTTAGGTGAGAGAAGATTTTTCTACTGATGTGAAATGTTAAAGTGTGCCAAGGTAGATTAAACCTTTTTTTTTACCTTTGTGACATCATTAAGATCCAACTTAGTGACAGAATGTTTTATACACTATTATTAATAAAATAACACAATTGATTGATCAAGTGTCACATCTTGTTTGTTGTTCTCTTGTAGGGGTTATGAATGTGTCAGTGACTGCTGAGGCTGTGGCATCCCAAGCTTCATGTGACAATGAGATTGTGAGCGTGCCAGAAAGGGGTCGTATCGACGTGGTCAAACGTTCTCTCATAGTCAAGGTCAGGACGTTTAAACAAAATGATAAAGTATAAGTTCATCCATTAACTAGAAAGAAACTCTGGAACTCGCATTATATATTTTTCTTTCAGGCTGAAGGAACTGAGATGTCCAAGACCTACAACTGGCTTCTCTGCCCAAAAGGTCAGTTTGTTCAGAAAAATAACAACCAATTATGATAAGTTAGGAGATTTCCCATCAAGGATATGTGACCCTCTTATCTAAATCAGTCTGGCGAATACCAAGTTAATCGTGGATTTATGTCCAAAACCTCGTGCAGAGGTATTACAGTACAACAGGCGCTGTGTGTTGCCTCAGAAAATACACACAACACACAGATGAATCTCAGAACAATAAGCCGCTGATGTTGATGTGACTGATTTTGATGGAGCAGGTCAGTCACATAGAATAGATACATTCACTACCTGTGGGTAGCACTTAACTTATTTGTCAATGAGTCACAGATTCATAAAAGGTCATTATTTAAATGTTATCAACCTGATGGAAGAACACCTAATTCTTATTCTCAGTCCTGTTTCAATCGATGATCCATTAACCATCCGTGAAATCTATCTTTGTTTGAGTGCTGAGCTGACTGTATCTTGTCTTCACACAGGAGAGGCTTTGAAAGAGGAAATAGAAATACAGCTGCCTGAGAACGTCATTCTTGGATCTGCCCGAGCTTCGCTATCAGTCTTGGGTAACACATTAATTTCTGTTGAGTTGTTTTTGTTGTATTTTGAGTTACATTTTCGAGTATTAGCTTCATTGTTTTTGTGCAGGTGACATTCTGGGCAGGGCTCTAAACAACCTGGATGGGCTGCTGCAGATGCCGTATGGATGTGGTGAGCAGAACATGGCGCTCTTGGCCCCCAACATCTACATCCTCCAGTACCTGAAAAACACTCAGCAGCTGACCCCAGCCATCAAGGACAAGGCTACCAACTTCCTGACCAGTGGTGAGTCTCTGGTGAAATATGTCAAATGTAGCATGAGTAACATTCTGGCACACAAAAATGCAACCAGTATCAGAAAGAGTGTTGCATGATTATGTAGCCCGTGCCGATTCATCCCTTTTTTCTGCCTTTTCCCTGCTATGCAAATAATGGTAAACATCCTGAATATATGAGAGGAAGTTTCGGTCAAACTTGGTAATGTGATTAATTTGCGTTCTTTATTTGAATCCCTTTAAGGTTTCCAGGTTGATCACAAGCTTTAAAGTGTTACTTCATTCATTAATTTAGCAAAACCCTTTTGTAATTTGACACTTTTGTGATACAGGCTACCAGAGACAGCTGAACTACAAACATGATGATGGTGCATACAGCACATTTGGAACAGGAACTGGGAACACTTGGTGAGAAAACTGAGGTTACCTACTGTAACCCAGCTTCTATGAGTATATGGCGCAGCCCTCTAAGGCTATCGTTATTGGGTTATCCATCTGCGCCCCCGCGCAGCACTGAAACACTTGTAGTCCACGCCCACCCGCTAGGTGGGCCCCACCCTCAGGCTTCCTTCCGGTATAAATAGGAAGGAGGCCCGGCAATCTGCTCCCATACAAAATAACTTTTCTTCAGCTATTCGTAGAGCCAGTGGGGCCCAGCGCTTAGAGGGCTGCGCCATTTACTCATAGAAGCTGGGGTTACAGTAGGTAACCTCAGTTCTATTTCGTATATGGCTTCGCCCTCTAAGGCTATCGCTATTGGGTTAAGGGCGAAGCATGATGTAGTCTGCGCCCCACTGGGTCCGCCCGGCACTAGAAGCACAGACACACCTGCTCAATAACACCCCCCTGCCTGTTGTGCCATGCGTAATGGCGCATCACCGTCCCTGGAACATAGCAAAACATGCCTATTTTCCCGTCTCTACTTTCTCACCGCTGTGAGAAAGTAGAGACGAAGGTCCCACCTTGTCCTGCGATCATAGAGGGGGAACAGCCGCTCTCTCCGTGTTAGACAGGTAGGAGAGCGCACAGCTGGATCCCTGACGTCACTCACTCTGACCAGGCACTCCGTACGAAGTGTGTCAGAGTAAAGGGAACATCCCTCTCATACGAGGGGAAAAGGGCCGCTCTCCGCGTGCCGAGAGGCAGGAGAGAGGCGCACCGCTGGATCCCTGACGTCACTCACTCCGACAGGACACCCAGTACAGGGTGCGTCAGAGAGGAATGGGAGACCTCCCTCAAATAAAATTGAATAAATGAACAGGGGGAAGACCAAGATGCAGCCGTGCAAATATCTTCCACTGACATTCCTCCGTGCAACGCCGTGGAGGAGGAAAGTCCTCTGGTGGAGTGCGCCTTGATACTCTCCGGGGGCTCCACCCCAGAGGAGACATATGCCTGTGACACAGCCTTACACAGCCAGTGTGACAGCCGTTGTGCAGACAGAGGTTGCCCGATCGAGCGCTCTCTATAGTGCACAAACAGGCGCTGAGAACGGCGCCAGGCCGCCGTGCGCGCCACATAGCAGGACAGCGCGCGCACAGGACAGAGGAGATGAGACGTGGCTTCTTCCTCCGACCTGTAAGGAGGGGGGAATAAGCCAGCCAGGGTGATCACTCTTGACCTAAAAGAGTTGTGATGACCTTAGGCAAGAAGACGGTGTTTCTTGTATCCCATGGAACTGCTGGGGGGAGAGGCTTCTCTGTGATGTGCCGTAATGGTCGTCATGGTGACGTGCCACGCCATCGCCGCCGCTGCCTGTGAGGCAAAAGGGCTGCGAGGGAGATTCCACACGCTGCATTTCACTCCGTCTCTCATCATGAGGCACGTACACGCCCAGAGGATGAGAGGTGTGTGTATGCTGTCCACACGAGGCGTTATAACGGTGCTCGTGGATTTATTATGACCGTGTGTAGGAGGCATATCTGGGACAGAGGAATGCCGCGAACTCTGCAGTTTATAAACCAATAGGTTAAAAACAGCAGGCTTCTGCAGCGAATGAACCACCTCTGGAGTGTCCCCCTGTTGGAAGAGACCCAAGGGGATCACCACGTGACCAGCTGACGCCAACGCCGAGCAGCTACGTCACGGAGAGGTGCTGGATCTGTGTCACCCACGCGGAAATCGTCACCTGGGAGACAGCGACGGACGCACCGTGCTGGCCGCCTTGCTGATTTCCTCTGCCTCGGTGGTGGACCGCTCTACCAGTGTCCCCACCGAGTTGGAGAGCCGCGCAATGTTATTCGCCGCCGCGCTGTGGTGACGGAGAGGGGGAAAGCATGTTCGGCCACCAAGCTGGCACCCTGCTCCGACTCTGTCTCCCCCGTCCGGGGGAGAGGAGGGAGGGGATAACCGAACTGTGGAGGGAGACGGGGCAGGAGTTGCCTTTTTCCTGGGACTCCTGCCCGGCACTCGGCCCCAGGGACACTCGGCCCCAGGGACACTCGGCCCTGTCCGCGGGCTCGTAAGCCTGAACGGACCAATCGTCCTCCTCGGCCACAGCAGCAAGAGCGTCCGCTCTCCGCTTCCTGTCGCCCGAGGGGAGACGAGCGCAGTGTGTGCATGCTACCTGCTGTTTTAGAGCCGCGTATGCGTGCTCTGACCCCAGGTAGGCTGTGCTTCAGTAACTATGCTGGTTTGCTGAAGAAAAGAGGGAGCAGATTGCCGGGCCTCCTTCCTATTTATACCGGAAGGAAGCCCGAGGGTGGGGCCCACCTAGCGGGTGGGCGTGGACTACAAGTGTTTCAGTGCTGCGCGGGGGCGCAGAGGAATAACCCAATAGCGATAGCCTTAGAGGGCGAAGCCAGGGCCGGACTGGGACAATAAGTCAGGCCGGGAATTATACACCCAGCCAGGCCACTACCAGTTTTCTTTTGTGCCATTTTCCTGGATTTATTTGTCAATATTTACAGCATTGCTGCCCATAGTGATAGCCCTAAACTTTAAATCTACTACCCAGAATAAACATATGGACATGGGTTACTATTTTTTTTAAAAGTGCAAATCTATTTAGGAACCTATCCATGTGAACATATTTTAAGTGAAGGTGGACCTCGAATCCTCTAGGGGGGTCCGGGGACATGCTCCCCCGGTAAGATTTTTTTTTAAGTGTTGCACTTAAATGCATCAATCTGGTGCACTTTGAGGGGGAAATAAAGAGACTACATCCATATGAAACATTTCTGTATACATTTAAATAATCATAAAATCATAAGAACATGGCCATAACCAATAACATAGCATATCCAATATGAAAAAACATTGAAACTTGTTTATTTATTTGTTTTTGGTTCATTTATAGTTGTGAGCGTGTCTGGGCTCCTGAACCAGCCTCACCCGTCTCCCCCCTCTCCCCCCTGCTCCTCTTTGAGGCAGCAGCAAAGACTAGTTTTAGCTCTCAACAAGTTTTTAAAGTTTATCTTACCTTTTTTCACCTAGTTAACATTTTTTTATTTATTATTCATGCATAATTTACTAATCACTCCCCCTTCAAATGGAAATATGTGTTTACATAAATGGTGACCAAACCGTTTGAGACCCACTGAGAACTTAGACAAAGTTAACTATCTAAACACTCAGTCATTTACCTCACCTGAGCTGTAGTTATCAGTCTCTCAGTCTGACAGCAGAGGACTCTCCCCCCACCTTGTTGACAGCTCATTATATCCGCTAGCGCAGCTAGCTATCACCAGATGCTAACAACAACAATACACGTAACCGGTGGGCGCGCTTTCTCTCTCTCTCGCGCCACACATACACACCCTCCCGAGCTTGAATGACACACAGAGACCAATCGAGGGCATTAGTGTATGATCTGTATGAAAGTGGCCATGTCGGCAGGCCACATCATGTAGACAGCCAGTCACCCTCTGTGAGGCAGAGTCAGACCCACATTTGCGCAGCGTTGCGTTCACAATACATAAAAAAAAAGATTCCTCAGGCCAGCAGGCCAGGCCATCGGGAAACCTCCCGGTCCTCCCGATGGCCAGTCCGGGCCTGGGCGAAGCCATATACGAAATAGAACTACTGATCGATCATCAACCCAAATAATGATATGTACATGCTGTGCAATATTACCATGTCACACCAAGACATACAGTTTACCACTATTGCTAACAGAGTAGATGATGTAGAAGTACTTAGACATTTTATTTTATTACTCATAAGTTCTTCACAATAAAACCACTAATGTGCTATGTGAACACACGCAAGTTCAAGTCTTTCTAATTAATGCATAAAATAGAATCGCATGATTTGTATATTGTTGTGATTATCTTGAGACATTACACAGATCATGATTGTTTAATTATGTCAGTCACATATAACTTTGTTTTAATATCCTCAGGCTGACTGCTTTTGTGGTGAGATCATTTGCCAAAGCACAGTCTTTTGTCTATATTGACCCAGCAAAGATGGAAGAGTCTAAGATTTGGCTCCAATGGAAACAACGAGAAAATGGCTGTTTTGAACAGTCAGGAAAGCTGTTTAACAACAGAATGAAGGTAATCAAAGTCGTTCTTCTCATGAAAATACCTGTTAATAACTGAAACTTAAGAATGTTATACATTTTTGTTTTCACTAAACCACATGCTGCTCTATTTAAATGCAAATACACCATCAGGACTTTCAAAGATGGCTCAGTAGTAACTAATGCTAGCCTAGGGACCGGTTTCACAAAATGTGTATTGACATTTGTACACTGCTCGTAAGCAGTTCTTAAGTTAACTTCCGTGAGTCCGACCCTGGGTGTTAGATGTGCTGTGTTGATCTGTGTGTGTGTGTGTGTGGGTGTGTGTGTGTGTGGTGTGTGTGTGTGTGTGTGTGTGTGTGTGTGTGTGTTGTGTGTGTGTGTGTGTGTGTGTGTGTGTGTGGTGTGTGTGTGTGTGTGTGTGTGTGTGTGTGTGTGTGTGTGTGTTGTGTGTGTGTGTGTGTGTGTGTGTTGTGTGTTGTGTGTGTGTGTGTGTGTGTGATGGTTGTCCTCTACAGGGTGGTGTGTCTGATGAAGTGACTCTCAGTGCCTACATCACTGCTGCCTTCTTGGAGATGAAAACATCTGTGGAAGTGAGTACAACAAAGCGTTTTCCGCCCAAGTATTTGTTGCCGAAAGATATAAATGAAAGACTTGCTAAAAATTGTTTTGGGACATAAGACCACTGGACTGTCTTTATTGATATATTTAGGAACTTGGGTACATTTTATGATTGTAGGCGTCTTTAAACAATGATATTTGTTGGTTCATTCTGGTCGATGCAAGTTGTATTTTCTCCCTTCCATTATTCAGGTTTGTCGTATTGGTAAAGACTTGCTGAGCCCATACTTTCTGATGTTTGTTAATATTATCACCTACATTTACATTTGTTTTCCTTTATATAGAAATGTGTTAATGCATCATGAACTAGAATAAACTTGGTGCTTTGATAGATTAAATCAGGTTTGACATGCTGACTGTTAAAAATTGTGTTATTTGAATCTGATCTAGGATCCTGTGGTGAACAAGAGCCTGTCTTGCCTCAAAGAGTCCATCAGTGACCTCAGTAACACCTACACCACAGCTTTGCTGGCGTACGTCTTCACCCTGGCAGGCGACATGGAGACCCGTGCTCACCTTCTCAATCACCTAGACACTGTTGGAATACAAAATGGTGAGTCATTTTTCTTAAAAATATCTTTCTGGATTCACTAATGTGGTGTAGCTTACCTTGTATCTGTTTGTGTGTTTGTGGATGGCTGATTCAGGAGGTTTCCTTCACTGGTCTCAGACAGCATCAGAAAAATCAGCCTCTCTGTCTGTGGAGATCAGCTCCTACGTGCTGCTGGCCAAACTCAGTGCCTCTCCCACTACTGAAGACTTGGGCTATGCTGCTGGCATCGTTAGATGGCTGGCGGGCCAGCAGAACTATTACGGAGGTTTCTCCTCCACACAGGTACAGCACACACTGCTTACAGCTGGACTTACAGTTAAACATATAAGCTACCCTGATCAAAATGATGAACAAACAAAGTTAATTTAAATTCAAATGTACATATGTGACTTTGATCTGACCTAACAAGCTTAACCATTCTTAACCATCACCTTCTTGTGAAAACCATATATTTCCAAAATACCTGTAGGCTAAAAGAAATGTGCTCAACAGGAATACTAAATCCTTCAGTTCAAGTGAAGCATTCAAAATCATATAATAAAGATAGAAATAGTTTTCACCAAAAAGCGACATGAACCAATATTTGAACTCCTACATATGAAATATACTGTATGTATAAACCAAAATAATACAACTTTACATTAGCACTAATGTAGGTGCACACAGCATTTCATATTTGTGTATATGTGTTGTAGGACACAGTGGTGGCTCTTCAGGCTCTGGCTCTCTACTCCACTCTGGTGTTCAGTCCAGGAGGTTCAAGCACGGTGACAGTCCAGTCTCCCAGTGACACTCTGACATTTGATGTGAACCAGAACAACAAACTGCTCTACCAGGAGAAGCTGCTGCAGGACGTGACAGGAAAGTTCAGCCTGGAGGTGAAGGGCACTGCATGTGCTGCAATGCAGGTCAGTGGTCATGCAGATGTACCTGTTTCTCTTTGAAATACATACACCACAACAAAAACTGCTGATTAAACTGTATCGTAATGTTAGCAGCCTCATCGCTCAACACAGTTAAATACAGGAGTTAAATACAAGTGGCTGAAATTCATTTATACCGTAGAAATTAATTTCAGCCACCTTTATTTAACTCCTGTTACTTTGGGAGTCCACACAAAGGTCCCTTCAAAGTTTCCGTGCACATAGCAGCCAACAGAGTGTTTTCGACGTGGCGTTGCAGGTATACAAACTTACCTTCCACCTAGGTCCCAAAAAAAGAAAGCAACATCATATATTTAAAGCAAAGGCAATCTCGAGATTCAGGTTCACTGAATAGTGTTCTCCTTGTGTCTCTCTTTTCCAGATGTCTCAACACTATAACATCCCAACTCCTTCTGACGCAACAACCCTCAGTGTCAATGTAAGACCAGAGTTCGACTGCGCCATCAAAAACACCAAACTCACTCTGAATCTTCAGTCCCGGTAAGTTATCAACAAGCAGATTCACGCGAAAGAAGAACCATGACATTTCTTAGATACAATCCTCTGCATCTACCATCTTGAACTATGTAACTGCTGGAGGATGGACATGGGACAAATGAATAGCACTTGCCTTACAGATTTAGTGGAAAGGAGACCAGCACAAACATGGTGATACTGGATATCAAAATGCTCTCTGGATTTGTCCCAGACCAAGAATCTTTGAAGAGGGTGAGTTATTTCAGTAACTTTCACCTTTAGCTCGAAGTTTAAAAATCTTCATCTGTTGTTGAGCCACCCGGCTGATTACCATCTCCTCACAGCTCAAAGGAGCCCTGCTGGTGGATCGCGTTGAACAAAAGGAGGATCATGTTCTGGTGTACATACGGGAGGTGAGAGAAATCCTATCCTCAGCGAGCAGCAACTGATGATGCCCTTCACATTTGTTATTCATGGTTTGTTTCTTTTTATCCCAACAGTTACCAAAAGACATACCTATCAACCACAGCTTGGATCTCAGACTGGAGATCCCAGTGCAGAACATGAAGCCAGCCGTGGTCAAGATCTATGACTACTATCAGCCAAGTAAATCCTTACGAACCCCTAACAGAGACTACAGGCCACACTGATACACTCTGCTCCAACCTGAACATTATCAGAATAGTATTTTATTTAATTATTTAGTACTTGGATAGATTATTGTCTCCTTATCTTCTGCTTCTTTTTCCTTCATTCCTCTCAGGTGACCATGCTGAGACAGAATACACACACCCTTGTGTTTCAGGTAACAATCTGTACTTACATAAAGCGGAAATACAGTCTATTTTACAGATATCTTTTATACATGCGGTAATTGTGTAACCTTAAACCAAATCCAGCAAAACAACTATTGTAGACTGTAAGATTTCACAGTGACTGACTTTCTTTTAAAATTGTATTTTGCAGCTTAAAGTGTGAAGTCTGATCCTCGGGCCTTCAAGGATTCCAGTACGATATACAAATACTTTTTGTTATCAAAGATACATTTTATGTACTTTCACACCAGTTCACTTTGTTAATTAGCTTAGTTTACTGCTGCAATGTCTAACAGCTGTTAAACTACAGCACATATCTGAAATGTGTGCTTTTTGGAAAAACTATTAATTAAAACATTAAAACTGGTCTTCCACTGTTTCCTCCTTCTGCTTTACATGTATCATATCACAGTGTAGAATTTGTGCAGGTCAGCTTGGTGTGGACATTTGTATACAACCCTAGGAGGAAGCTTTGGATAACATAACTCAGACTATGCTGAGTTATGTGACTGGTGACTAATGATTGTTGAATATAAATAAAAACAAACTGAATGCTAAAAGTGTACCTCAATGTGTTGTAGTCCAACTTTTCTCTACATTCATGAAGTAATTAATGATGGAAGCTATGTATTAATGTTATTGTCTTTTATCCTTTAATATGAAGTATATACTTATTTTAATCATCTGTTGGACAACAGGACTGCGTCCAGAACAGATATCTTTAAGTGGAGTAATGAGGTTAAAATGTTAACATAGGTTCAGGAGCATGGCCACGCCTAAAACTCCACCTCGAACCACGGCCACCCCTATTTATATGTCTCCATCCTTTCAAGGACTGACAGCCAGACCGTGACTCACGCCACGCGTCGTCACGGCTCAAACAAGCTAAACGCTACCACGAGAACATTCAACTTACCATGGATCCCGGACTGCTGATCAACTCACCGGAGTCAGACGAAGATCTCTTCGACATCGGCTACCCGCCATCCACGTTTCAGCAGTTGGATCTAAGCCAAGCATCCGAACAGAGCCGCGTGTGTAGCCCTCATTGGACAGCTGCGTTTACTTTCCTAAACATGGCTAGTCGCATAGCATCATCCATGTGGACTGTAGTTTGTTCATGCTTTTTAGTTTTTTCTGATATGTGCTTTATGTCACTCACATCTGTCTGGATCCATGCTGGGTCTGGTCCATAGACTGGTCTGATCCTGACGTTTGAAAAGGGAAGCAGGGGAAGCAAAAATATAGCACTGGTGTTGCTACAGGTAGTTAGCCAAGCCTTCTTGCTAAACCAGCTCCTTGAAAAAGAGCAGGATAGTGCCTTCCTCTGTCCTTAACTCCTGCCTATGTCAGGCTGATCAGGTCCGAGCTCTTTTACTCTCAGCTTTCCCGCCAGTGTCCTCCTCTCAAAGGGTGTTTCTTTAAGTGATTAAACATCATTTTCCTTCAACATATTCGCTATTTAGTTTTGTTTATGTTACACCCCTCAGACCGCAAGGGTATTATAGGTGTAGAAAACGTTCATTTATTAACTTCCACAAGGCACATGATGTGCAAGATGTCAGCATCTCAAACGATCTCCAAGCACAACACACCGACACACTTCTTCTGTTCATCTCCAGGATAAATCAATGATCTGCCCCCTTGTGGTATAAACATGCATGTGCAGGTAGACAATCTCAACCTTATGGGTGCGACATTCCTCCCCTGCAAACTAAATGTTGTCCTCAACATTAACATTCATAGCACAACATTGATTATCGAACTTTCAGATCAAAACACATTACATTGACATTCACATTACCTACTGTATGGCAGTGGCTTGAAAACAAGTAAATGTTTTTAAATGTCCTTCACATTTCACTATTATAGTACACAACTTTTAACAGTAACCAGTTGGTTCAAAAACAGTCTGTTACTGTATCCACATTTTAGACAGTCCATATTAATCCCCTCAGTAATATCCTACAGGAACAGGAATAGGATGAACCATGTACGTCCCAAACACCTGTGGAGATGACCAGGGCACATTGTATTGTCCATATGCTGGTGCAAGAGCATTAACATAAAGTGGGTTTATGTGAAGCCTTCCAAAACGATGAACAGGATGACCCAATGTCTCATAAGTCAGTGTTTCTCTGGGTCGTTTCTCTCTCTGTGACCTGCGTGGTTGTGTGTCAAAACTCAAAAGGGTCATTTTCTTGAACATTTGGCAGGTCTGCAGGCTGAACAGTTTGTGTTAGCTCTTGAGTGTCACTAGTGTTATTGTTCATAAACATCTGCACAGGATTCTCCATTCTGAACTCCTCTGCGTCAACGTCTAGTTGAGGCTGATGTGTTGTGTTAGGAAAGGCTGGAGGCAGTGGCGGTTCTAGAACATTTTACATGGGGTGGCAAAGGGGGGGCAAGAGGTCATGCCAGGGTGGCATGGGAGGACGGACAGTACGTGGTATTTGATATTGTATATATAACCTATTTATTGTTAAATTATGCCCTAACACAAGTGTTCTTAATGCACAAGAGAAACAATGTGTTCAGACCAACAAACTCAAACATAGTATAAAACAGCAGAACATACTCATGATACCCTAGAATTATGTTTACTGTGAGTACAGTAAAAGTACTTAGTTATAATTAAGTACACAAATGACATCACCCATCTCTTAAGAGAGCTAAAGGTGACCTGTGCACTGCAGCAACACATTTCAATTTTTCTCAATACTAAGAGCCGCCAGATTGTGCTGCTGTGATGGAATATGTAAGGAGAATAAGAACATACCATGTGGTCCAGCTGGAGTCTCCTCTGCCTCCTGATCCCTGCCTCTGTCCCTCTTTCTGATACTTCATCTTTATTCCTCACATACATTTCTTCTTCTTCACTAATGTCTTCATCTCCTCCTCTTCCTCCTGCTCTGACCCTCCTGGTCTCTTCATCTCCTCCTCTTCCTCCTGCTCCGACCCTCCTGGTCTCCTCATCTCTCTTTTCCTTTTCCTCTTTCTGTTCGTCCTGATCTCTTCTCAGATATGTCTTTGTGTTGTTGTTGAATCACTCCAGCTACTCTGGCCTGCAAGAGTCTACTTGTGAAAAGCTCTGGTACAAATGCTTGTATAACTTTACACGTTAGGGCCATGTAGCTAATAAGTAGCATAGCATATAATAAATATAAAATCAGAAAGTATTTATCAAACGCACACAGGCAGCTGTGTTTAGATCCAGTTTGACGGTAAAGGATGTATCCTGGTTTAATTTATCAGGCCTCATTGCTGTGATGTGTAATGTACGTGGATTTAATAGTACCGCATAGTTTAGCAAATAAAGGGAATGATCTCCCAGCTAGCGCTGTCTGTATTTTGTAACGTAACGCCCCAAACAGCGACCGTCTGTTAAACGCTATCGATTCAAACGGCAGCGTTTTATTAATACTTTGTTTCAAGCTCTCGTCTTTAGTAAAAACACAACTAGTGGAAGGGGAAATGCTCCCAGGGGAAGCTGATCCACCTTCAGGTGCTGGAACAGCTCGCTCCCTCTCTGCAGCGGTGTGAGCCGCGGTCTGTGTGAACGCCGCTCCGCAGTTTAATGCAGGGCCGTAGCTGCGTTTTTAACGGGCCTAAGATGATATTTAATATGATTCACTTTTAATTCATGAACTGCTTATTTCGTTGCTTGAGAAGCTTGTTGACATAGTGTAGGTTTGTTTCTACAAGTACAGTTTTAGGGACACAAAAGTTAGGGGGGCAGCTGGGGGGGGGCAAGGCTCTACAGTTGCCCCCCCGTAGATCCGCCCCTGGCTGGAGGTGAAGCATCCTGCTCTTCAGACTGATGATGACGATGTCTCAACCTATTAGCCCAATAATACTCATCCTCATCTGAGCTTGCAGACTCCTCTGTTTCACCTGGTTTAACACATAGTTCAACATCCTGCTGTGCTTTCCTTTGCTTTTTCTGTGATTGTGTTTGTACCGTGCTTTGTGCTGGTTCCTCAAGTGGCAAAGCATTGCATGACATCAACATGTTGCGATGGAGGATCCTATTTCTTCCTGTTCCACGTTCTGGCTTTAGCTCATAGACCGGGCTGCTTTCTCCTTTCCGAGAGACTACAATGTGTATCTTATCTTCCCAGTAACTTTCCGGGTCTACCACGCTCAGACATATTCCTCACAAGGACCCTGTCGCCTGGTGAAAGCACTGCATTTATCATAGCTGTTTTTCCCTCTTGCTGTAGTCTTTTTAATATTTTTGGATGCAATGTCATAAGCCTCTTTCATTTGTTGCTGCCATTTTTGAGCATACTCATGATGTGAATTACATCCTTCCCCCTCATTTATCTAAAAGATGAAATCAATTGGCAGACGAGGCTTTCTCCCAAAAAGCAGATAGAATGGGGAATAACCATGCTTCACTGGTTGTACAGTTGTAAGCATGTACCACTTTAGTTACATAGCCTCTCCAGTTTCCCTTTTCTCTTCATCCAAAGTCCGCAGCATTGAAAGCAAAGTTCGGTTAAATCTTTCTGCCGGGTTCCCCTGTGGGTGGTAGGGAGTTGTTTTTGAATTTTCGATTCCTGAGTATTTCTGCAGTTGTCTGAAAAGCTGGTTCTCAAATTCTCTACCCTGATCATGATGTATTTTAGCAGGAAAACCACATTTCAATGCAAAATCATTAAAGATTTTCTCAGCAGCAGTTTTACCTGATTTGTTTCGGGTTGGATACGCCTGGGCAAATTTAGTGAAGTTATCAATTATCACTAAAATACATTCATACCCTCCCCTGCTTTTTTCAAGGTGAAGGTAATCTATGGATACCATTTAAAATGGTGCTGTTGCAGGTATAGGGGCTCTGACATGCACTGTAGTTTTTTTTTGGATGTTACATTTGCACACCTGAGTGATGAAAAACTCAATGTCTTTCTGCATCCCAGGCCAATAAAACCTGTCTCGTGCGAGGCGTAAAACTCGTTCCACCCCCAAATGACCCATTTCACAGTGAAGGTACCTGTACACCAGTCCTCTGTACTGCTCTGGAAGCACGATTTGCGTACATGTTGCAGTTTTGTGTTTCAACACACCCTCTTCTGAAACAATTAGTCTTTTCCATTCATGTAGCAGTTTCTTAACTTGTGCTATTTCCATGTTCATGAGCTTCCTGTCTGGTCTGTCTCCCAACTTCTTCAGGTTGAGTACACGGGATATGGCAGGATCTTGAGACTGGGCCTGCAGTAACTCCTGCTGCGATATTTTAATGTCAGGCTGATTATCTCCTGAATATGTGGGCTGCAGGTTATAGCTGAGATCCAGTCCACCTCACACTGTTTTTGTGTCTCAGCTGCGTGAAGTATTGCGCATAACACTTCAGGAGAGCATTGCTCTGAGTCTGTGCACTCCCTCATGTAGAAGTCCATACTCGCAGGTATGTGGGACAAGAAGTCTGCGTCTGTGTTGCTTTTTCCTGGACGGTATTTCAGAGTTATGTTGAAGTCAGCCAGCTCAGACACCCAGCGATGTCCAGTTGCGTTCAGTTTAGCTGTGCTCAGGACATAAGTGACAGGATTGTTATCACTGTATACT